CTTGCCAGGGACCCTGGGAAGGGTTTGGCCACCACTTTGCTGTCTGTTGAACGTCACATCCCGACTGCTGTGCCCACCGTGCTGCCCATCTCCAGCCCTGCAGCACTGCAGGCTGCGGGGGAATCCGGGCGCTGCCCAGTCCCCCGTCCTACCAGCCCTTCCTCGCCTCTATTTGGATAACTTTTTCACCCGTTTTATTTATGAGGACTCCCCTCCTTCTGCCAACACTCTGAGTTTCCTCTCGCTCTAGTCTGGGAGGCCCATCTCACTTTTTTATTCTTATTATTTCTCTCTCCCCCTTGCATGGCCCCAGGCTCGCACGCAGCGGTGCAGGTCGGAGTGAGGCTTTGTTCGGCCGCGAGAGCAAATGGGGAGAGCAGCCACAGGTGGGATGGGCAGTGATTCCTCCTCACCCACCCCACAGCACCCAGCTCTGCCTGCACCTGCCCTGGCTTGGCCCATGGCTTACTCGCTGACTCTCAGACTGAAAAACTAGGAGAAAATCAGGATTCAATACTTAAAAGAATCGGGAGAAAACTGATGTCAGAAATGTTTGCCTGCCTGTGTTTAAGGTCATTGATGAGCTAGGGCTGGCAAGCAGCTTCTGCATTAGAGCCAGCTGCAAGTGAGCAGAATAACTTCATCTCAAGTGATTAAAGAACTTGTTCAGCTCCTTAAGTTGCATCTGTCAGGCAAAACCTGTTGCTCACTGCAGAAATGAGACTGGCTTTGCATGGTGGGGCAAGGCTGGATAGAGGCACCCTGGATGTAGGGGCAGCCAGATCTATCCAGCCTGCACTGCTGTGTCTCCCAGGCTGATGGGAATATTCCTTGAGCCTCCCCTTCTCCTGTAAATTTGGTGCAAGTCAGTCACTGTGAGCTGAGGGGGTCAGGAGCCAACTCCCACCAGCATAAGAGGCTTCAGCCTGAGAATGCTCAGTCCCTGCTATCCCTGGGCCAGCCCTCGCTCCAGGATCCAACCCTCTGCACATCTCAGAGGCACCAAACCTTCATTCCACCTGCTCACAGGCATCCTTCATCATGTGGCTCCTTGCATGTGGTCCAAGGAGCACGAGCTGGACACAAAGCCACAACTTGCACTGCACAGAACAAAAATTGGGTATTTTCCTGAGTCCAGCTTTGTGTGAGGCCCATTCCCACTGCTGGATCCTGCTGCTCAGTGGCAGGGGTGAACAGAGCACCTCCAGGGACCTGGCTCCTGAGGGCCTGGGATGCACAAATGAGTAACCTGATAAAAACAGGCTAAAACTCAGCATTTCATAATTGTATGATCACGGCTGCCTGCTTGAGCCCAGCCCAGTGACACTACTGCAGATCCTATGCAGTTCTTACACTTTTCCATTGTAATAGACCACGGACCCACCAAAATGCTGATGAGTCCCATGTCTGGCCATGGCTCACCATGGGGCAATGTGAGCCAAAATAATGTGATCTGCAGAGTACTGAAGTGTTGGGTGCTGGGTCAGGAGGCACAGGGCAGAGTGGATACCCACCATGGGGGTGGATTAGGATTGGAGGTGGCACCTGTAGGAGGCCTGGAACAAGAGAAGCCACTATCCAAAGCAAGGCCATGGGCAAAGAGTGGGGAGGTGTCCTAGGTATCCCACATACCCTCCTGGGACCTGGTTGCAGTGCACATGGTGGCTGCAAGGTGGGCTGGGGGAGCTGCACATGTTCCTAATGGAGAAAAGGAGCATGACATGAAAAATAGAGTGAGGAAAAAGGCAAGGTAATATGATGGAGAGCCCCATGGCATGTGATGGAAAGCCAGAAAAAGTGATATAGAGCCATGAGGGAGTGATGGAGAGCCATTAAGAGAGATGGAGAGCCATTAAGAGAGATGGAGAGCCATGAGGATCTGATGGAAAGCCATAAAGAAGGGATGGAGAGCCACGAGGATGTGATGAAGAACCTTGTAACTGTAAGACCTCAGTTGCTGGGGCATCACTCCACAGTCTAGCCATGTCCAAGGAACTGGCTTTCCTAGGTCACATGGGACCAAAGCAGCCCCAGCCCTTTGCTGTGCAGAGATGCTACAACACCAGCACAGTTGACCTGTCCTGAGGATAACAGTGAGCTGATGGCACTCCAGCCAGGGACACCTGTCCCCTGGTACCCAAGTGCATTTGTTGGCAGTTGACATCTGGCACAGCCAAGGAGCCCAGCAGCATGGAGCTCCTCCAGGCTGGTGCCCACTGTGCCCTGCAGGGAGCACAGACACAGGCCTGGGAGGCACCTCCCTGCGGCTAGGTGCCCAGGCAGTGGTGTGCCACCTGATGCTCCACGCCACAGAGGCTGGAGGCTGCTGTTCATCCAGGCACTACAGTCCCTGCTGGGAAACCTGCCCAGCTGTAACACTAGCCCAGCCCTGGCCCTTGGCAGGAGCACGGCACTGCCAGTCCATGGCACTGTGTCCACTCACACAGCCTGGGCATGCCACGGGCTGCCCACAGCCTGCGCATCAGGGCTGGCTGCATGTCCTAAGGCAGCACGTCACCTCCTCTAAAGTGCCCCCCTCGGCTGCGAGCCCAGCAGCAGCCCCTCTGCCGGCAGGTCGGGCCACTCTGCTCCCTTGTGCACGTGCCTTCTTCTTCGGGCCAAGCAGAGTGAAAGAGAGAAAATACATATATAGATGGATTTATATTATATAACAATCAATCAGAACCCTTTCTCTGCCTCCAGCCTGTGCAGGTGCCTGGGGCAGTGGGAGCCAGGCAGTGCAGCGGGGCTGGGACGTGGGGCTGGGGGCTGCTGCTGCTCCCAGCCCTGCTCCCCGCGAGCGACGCCGGGACGGCAGCGCGGGCGATGGGAACGCTGTACTCACCATATGGAGCCTCCATCTTAGCGCTTAGCTGGGTGCTTACATTGACCATGTCTCGCCGGCTACCGCTATGGGGACTTGGGGCAAAAACCAGAGGAAGTAGAGGAATAAAAAAGAAATCTAAATAAATAAATAAAAAAATGTCTTTCACTAAGGAACTAGGTGAAGGCAGGAGGGAGCACGGAGAGGCAGGG